CGGCGCTCGTTGGGGTTAGATTTAAAACTTTACCTTTTTCCGTTTAAATACGGAGTCTAAAAAGGAAGACTATTTCCTTCAACACTTTTCTTTCTTGTTAATAATTTTTTTTCAGAAGTTATTTTCGGAGGCGAGGAACGGCCTAGTATCCATTACTCCCTCGAAGTAGCGGCATTAAACACATTTAAAGCAGTGTTATAGCTCTATAATTTTCCTTTTTCGTAAGGCAAAGCGTTTGAAAAAATATAGTATTCTCGATTGCACCAAAAGGTGGAGAGAAGATTGATTGATAACAAAAGCCTGGTGAGTAAAATTTAGTTACGTTTTTCTGGTCAAACATCAAGCCTAGAAGTGGAAACCTTGGATGGGTTTTCATCAAACCCATCTGAAAACAGCATTTTTGTTTTGATGAAATTTCTTCGTTACGTATGGATAATGCTCATGTCGTCAGACTATTGCTCCTCGGAGCTGTAGGTCTAGGGTCAGAACCGGCAAAAGCATACTGACCAGCAGTTTTTAATCGATAGATACGATCGATAAAAGCACAATATCGTGAAGGACAATTTTGGCCTACTTTTCGTCAAAAACTATCCATACCCATCCCATTCTGTTGAGCCAGAAATTAGCATTCCAATATACACTTATTGATGAACCTTCACCTGACCGCTAACGAAACTCGTCTGTCCCGTTTTGCTTTGGGCCTCGACAGAAGCCCTGACGGCCGTAATAGCTGGTAGAATGGACAGATAGTATTGTCGGCAAAGGCAAGGGAGACTGGAATGGCCCTTTCTAGCTTATTAGCCGTCGTCAGCCAGTCATATTCAGACCCAAGTGGTATCCCACCCGAGCCTCGAACTCGCAACCTTTTTGATCAGAGTCATACGCCCTAACCATTGAGCCACGAGCTCGCTGCCTAGCCGGTTTAGGTCAGGAGGTATTGACAGTGGTTGATGAAGATTCCCCTGACCGGCAATACTATCTGCCTATATTCCAGTGTACGTTGTCATTGCTGTTTACACTGCTTAAATGTACAATATGTTCAGTCCGAAATTTAAAATTATTCAATAGAAATGAACGAAACTAGCTCACCGCTTTAGATGTCATATCCTATTGTTCTTCGGACGTTTTATTTTATCTATTTCGCA